CAAGGCCTTGATTGTCATTCATTGTTTCGATTGCTTTGGTTACATTGCTCACCAACTAGTTGGGTATAGGTATGTGAGTTGCATTCTATAATGTAGCTCTACACAGAGGCCGTCGCGTTTTCGCGTGGTTTTTGATTGTTAAGATTTGTCAGTTCTTTGTAGAATTTGGGTGGATTCATGATCAGTTGTTCCTTTTAGACTTCATGCTTCATTATTCTTTCTCGGATCTTGTTCTGTCTCACGTTTAGCAAGAGATTGTTTGAAGTTGAGGAAAGCTTGCTTCTGTTCCTTATAACCAACGAACCAACGATGTCTTCTACGGTCGACATGTATCTTGTACGCTGTTAATATTATCTCCAACTCAGTCAAGAGCTGCTTCCGCCATTTGGGCTCTTTCGAACAAGTTGGTACTTTGAAGAATGACGTCATCAAGTGCCTCAGCCAAGATGTTGTTTTCTTCCATAATGATTTTTTTCTGACTTTAAATGTTTGTGTTCTAGAGTGCAGGAAGAATCGCTCAAAGAGAGCAGCATTTAATTGAATTATACTCTAATCATTTGATTTGGGCACCTAAGCGATCACAGGTGATGATTATTTATTCTTCTTGAATAATCATTCCCGGCGAAACAAAGTTGTTGCTCGTTATTCTAGACGGTTTAGAGATACAGGAAAATAAACTTGAATGCCTTCTCCTTCTTTTTTATTATTTTCTTCTTTTGCGTTTCTTTTCATCGTCGTCTCTCATATTCCTGTTAATTTGTACATCAACGGAGAGTGGTGGCGGTTAGAATACCGTAGAGTAGGCGATGAACATTCAGTCAGGGTTTCATACAAGATTTCATTCATAGGATGTAGGATATGCAGGACAACACAAGATGGACAGGAGAATATATGACAGACGGGACAGCAGAGGATATGGATAGGCTCGGTTTAGTTCCATTATTTTTTGCTGTTAGTCGATAGTAGGTTACCTGAAACCAGATAACAACAGGAACAGAAAAACGAACTATCTATCTTGCACATTGATATTAATTTGAGATCATAATGGTATGTCTGATAAAATCGGATAACT